GTAACAATCATATCTGCACACTGCACCCATCCAAAATAAATTCCAAATATCTGCACTAATCCTTCCGTCTCTACGCACAATTTCACTCCATAATATATTTCAATTTTTTTTTTTTTAAAATCTTTATTCTATTCATTACTATCGTCAGACAAATGACATCAAATGAATGCATAATTTCCTCCTCTAGTGATTATGCTCTGTTTCTAAATTTTGACTACAACGTGACTACAAAATTTAGGCTCCGTTTGAAAAATAATTTTTAAAAATAATTTTTAAAAAATGACTAATTTTCTGAAAATAATTTAAAATTTTAATGTTTGGGGAAAATTATCTTTTTTTTTTTTTTTTTTTTTTTTTTTGTTTAGCTGAAAGTCAACAAATTTCATTTTTTATAGTTCATTTTTCCAAAAATAACATATTATTTGTTATAATAATAATAATAATAATAATAATAATAATAATAATAATAATAATAATAATAATAATGCGCGTTCGCACAGACTTAATTTAATCTAGACCATTAAAAATATTAGATGGATGCACGTGATGTGTTCTCACGTTCTCACCTAGTCACCTAAACACATGTACTCATATGATCTTAAATCTAAATCTCTCTCTCTCTCTCTCTCTCTCTCTCTCTCTCTCTCTCTCTCTCTCTATATATATATATATAGAATCGCACTCAGGTGCGAATGCTTCGCCCAAGAGCGAAATAGGAATGAATTCTGTCCGTCCACGTGTCCAGATCTAATGGATGAGAAACACTGATTTTTTAAAGGAATAATAGTCAAATAGGCCATCGAACTGCACCCGATGAAACAATTAGGCCACTGAACTTAAAAAACCAACAATTAGGTCCCTAAACTAATCAATTTCAAACAATTTTTTCAATTTGAAGGTTTCCAACAGGTCAACAGGTCATCCTTCCAAATTAATTATTTTTTAAAATTTAAATTTTAAAAATTAATTAGTTTTAAATTAAACTTAAAAAAAAAAAACTTGTTCCGGCCCGGCTGGATTCCAGTTTTTTTTTTTTTTTTTTTTTTTTTAAAGTTTAATTTAAAACTAATTTATTTTTTAAAAAATAATTAATTTGGGAGATGACCTGTTGACCTGTTGGAAACCTTCAAATTAGAAGAATTGTTTAAAATTAATTAGTTTAGGGAGCTAATTGTTGGTTTTTTTAGGTTCAATGGCCTAATAGTTTTATCGTGTGCAATTCGATGACCTATTTAACCCTTATTCCTTTTTTAAAAAAGCGCGGTGACATTTTTGTAAATAATTGAACATCGAAGTGCAAGTAAAATGTATTATAAGTGCATATAAAATGTATTATAAGTGCAAGTAAAAAATTTACACTGAGCATCAATACTAAGTGCACCTATAGTTCTAAGTAGTTGCACCTATCAATGGGGGCTATTATATTAAATCCACAAGGATTCTATGTGGCATCAATGACCACCCCTATCATACACTGTTTTACACCCTTAATGGCGGAAGCTTTCGCTTGCAAGGAAGCTTTGTCATGGCTCAGACACCGACGGGAAACTGATATAGACCTCTACACGGATTGTTTGGTACTACAACAATATCTTTCGTCTACTACGCACTCGTTGCGCTCTTATGTAGGCTATGCCATTGATAGCTGCAAAACTAGTATGGCATCTTTTGATTACTGCTTGATTCACTATGTTCCTAGACTAGACAATTATTTAGCGCATACATTAGCTACTTCTGCAATTAATCAGCTCTCTAGTATGTACGCGGACTTAACCCCACCAGACTCTATTTCAGCATATTTCGAATAAATGCCGCACAGGCTCCTTTCAAAAAAAAAAAAAAAGTAGTTGCACCTATAATTCTAAGTAGTTGCACATATAGTTATAAGTAGTTGCACCTAAGTGCATGAATGTTTGCGGGTGGTTTTCAGGGGTATTACTACCCGCTGAACTCAGATCAATGAATGTCAACAAGGCAAAATTACATGCACTTATAGGTGAAAGTAAGTGCACCTATAGTTATAAGTAGTTGCACCTATAGTTATAAATAGTTGCACCTATAGTTATAAGCACACCCAGGTGCATGAATGTTTGATGAAAGTGAATGCTAACAAGGCAAAATTACATGCACTTATAGGTGAAAGTAGGTGCACTTGTAAGTGATTTTACTTGCACTTCGATGTTCAATTATTTAAGAAAATGCCACCGTGTTTTTTTAAGCTATTAGATCTGGACACGTGTCACACACTGATTCGTTCGCATATTCCTTCCTGGACACTTATTCGCACCTTAGTGCATCCATATATATAGGAAGGTTCAAGTGGCGACGGTGTCTTACGGTGCGGCGTCACCAATAGTTCAACAAATATACACCATCAACGTTAGGAAAATACATCATAAAACACACACAAATTAGGTACGCATCACAAAAACACACCATTAGGTGTGAGTAAAAACACCATACAGTGTTCGGAAATACATCATTGGGGGTGGTGAGTTATGGTTTATATTTTTAGGTCTGTTGTGTATTTTTTGTGATTTTTTTTTAATTTAGAATTATGTGTCTACAATGCGTTTATTCAAAAAACATTATTTATTATCAATAAATTAAATAAGAGAAATAATTTCATTAGTTATATTGTCTTTATTTTTCTCCAATATAAATTTTTTTTACATTTAAATTCATCAATTGATTATATTCGCTACATTGTCCCTACAATGTCTTTATTTTTTTTAAAAAATTATTCATTATCAATAAATTAATTAAGAGAAATAATTTTATTAGTTATAGTCTTTATTTTTCTCCAATGTAAAAATTCTATTCATTCAAATTCATCAATGGATTATATTCACTACATTGTCTATATCTTTTTTTGTGCACTATGTTTTCAATTAAATATTGATGATTTTATTGGAACCGGGTATAGGGATACAGAACGAGGGAAGGGCGCTAGGCCCAAAACGATGCGTATAAAAGCCTGAGGTACAGGTCCCAAAACAGTGACCCAAATACAAAGAACGAGGCCCATAGGGTAGGCTATAACTAAATATGCTACTTGCAGAAATCAAACCCAGGTGGCTGGGTTGAGAGTATGAGATCAAGACCACTAGACCGTAGTGCCTGTCGTGTCTGAGTTGCCTTTAGCTAAGGATCCGGGACCCTTATTTATAGCCTGCCCCCTGCCCTCCTAGGCCTCCACGTGCTTTAGTCGCCACTTCATCCTTTTCCGTACGCCAATCTGCACGTTCACCATGCTTCCGAAATTCTCGTGCCCCTTACATGCACCCTCCACCCCGGGCCGCCGGGTGACCCGGCGCTGCCCGCGCCCAGCTGTGCTCGCGACCACCGCCCTCGCGTCCCCGCGCGGGGGCATCCAGCCACGCCCCTGGGCCGCGCGATGGGCGTGGTGTCGCCAGCCGGCGACTCGCCTTGGCCGTGGGCGGTAGCGGCCTCTGCCCTCGCGCCCTCGCATCCACACCGCGCACGCTGACTAACATCTTCCACCATGCACGCCGCACCTACCTCTCCCTCCCCACGCCGCACCTACCTCTCCCTCCCCACGCCGTACCTACCTCCCCCTCACGCCGTACCTACCTCCCGCACCTACCTCCACCCCCTCACGCCGTACCTACCTCCCCCCTCACGCCATACCTACCTCCCCCCTTCCGGTCCATGCTCTTCACCCCGGCCCACCATGCGTGCTTGTCTTCCGAGCTCAATAAGACTTGGGCCAACTTCCTTCTTTCACCACCCCCAAACTTTCCCAATAAAATGGACGCCCTAGGTCCCATATCCCCATCAAATATCAAAGTTATAATACAAAATAATGCTATATATTTATTTACCAAGTATTTTATTAATACCATGAAAAAACTAAAAAAAAAAAATAATTAATAAAGCCAATCATATTAACTACTTGATGGATTCGTTGGCAAAGAGAGTATTCAAATCACACAACAAATTGAAGTGAGAACTATCTCGCAATGTCCTTGTTTTATATTAGCAGATTTGACCAGTGAATTATATCAACGGTTGGTAAAAAGATATTTGAAAAAATTAGCTGTTTAGATTAACATGTAAAATGACTTAATGATATATATAATAATAATAATAATAATAATAATAATAATAATAATAATAATTATTATTATTATTATTATTATTATTATTGTTATTATTATTATCTTAAAAAATAAAAAAATCTAAAAAAATCTAATTAAACTAATCATATTAACTATTTGAGGGATTTATTGACAAAAAGAGTATTCAAATCACACAATAAATTGAAGTGGGAAACTAACTCGTAATGTCCTTGTTTGGCAATCAGTAGTTAACTCTTCAATATTAGTATATATTTAGTGTGTGTTTGGTTGATAGGTTTTGCCCATAGGAATGAGTATGAAAGTGATTGTTATTGTTTGGTTGATAGGTTTTTAGAACACTACTATGGGTTTCGAATGCCCCATCAATTGAAAAACTCATACCCAAATAAAATAAGAGTTTCATTCCCTTATTCATTATCAAGCACTATTATTAGTAACTAGGGGTGGGAATAGGCTAGGCCGGGCTAGACTTTTAAAATTTAGGCCTAGGCCTGTTAGAAAATATAAAGCCTAGGCCTGGGCCTGGGCCTGTATATAGGCTTTTTTTTAGGCTCAAGCCTGGGCCTACAGTAAGCCTGGCCTGGCCTGAAGCCTTTTTAAAAGCCTATTTAATAAATAGGCTTTTAAAAAGGCTTCAAAGTAGGTTCTAAATAGGCTTTGAGCCTATTTAAATAGGCTCAAAGCCTATTTAAAGCCTACATTTTAATATTTACCTGTAAATAATGATCATATTATTAAATTACATCAACCAATAATCATGAATGACAAAACCAAATTCATATTTCATAATAAAATTTCCAACAAGACAAGTTTAATAAATAAGAGTTCATAATACAAAAACCAAGTCCTTAATACAAAAGTCATATCACAAGTTTAACAACAACAGAAATTATAAGCCCACAATACAAACATACAAACATTATACTTAATAATATTCAAACATAAAATGAAAAAGTCATGGCTTCAACATAATCTCCTCTTGTCCAGAATTCTCCTACACAATAAAAAAAATGAGAATAAATAATGAAGTCCATTATAAGTTCAAGTGCTCATAATTCATAAATCATAAATATATTAAAATAATAAGTGGTAATATATAATAATATAAAATATTAAAGTAATAAGTAGATTCTTACCTTTGATTTTTTCTTCAGCCCATACTTGTTACGAAGCCAATCCCCACCACAAATAGGAGCTTCAATAGATTGCTCATTTAAGCTAGCACGATATTCATCAATCACCCTTCCCCCAGCACTAAATGTAGATTCAGATGCCACACTTGAAATAGGAACAGCTAGTATATTAGAAGCCATCTTTGATAAAACTTTAAACTTTGGACTATTATTTTTCCACCACGCCAAGGCACAAAAGGGTGAAGAAGAAGAAGGAATAAAAAGATTTTCCTCAAGATAAGTCTCCAACTCTGATTTCGTAAGAGGAATTGATTGACTTTGGTATACCATACTCAATAATTCTTGCATCCCTTTATCCATTTTTTGTCCACCATCAACCGGTGTGCTGATTTCAACATTGACTTCACTATGTCCACTCGTAGAAGAAGCATCTTGATTATACAAGTTCACATAATCAAGATATAATTCTTCTAATGCCCTTTTCACCTTCTCCACATTCTTTTCAACATCACTTGGTGTTTTATACAATAAGGGAAAAGTTATCTTAACACCATTTAATTTCATCCTTGGATCTAAAACACATGCAATAGACATTAGCAAATTACACTCTACCATTAGCAAGTTCAATTTCTTCAAAATCATTCCATACCGGTGATGTTTTTTTCCGCTTTTTTGTTATGATTGAATCATCAGCAACCGATTCAACCCTATTAACTTCTTCAGAATTGTTACTTTGAATTGGTTGACTTGAAGAAATTGATGGAGCTGTAGTTGTAACTTGCACATTAACTTCTTCAGGAATAGATTCATTTGTATTGTTACTTGTCATCCTATATAATTTTATAAATATTTTACCATCAATACACAAACAAAGTAACATCTAGTATCCATCTAATATTAAATATTATAAACAACTAAACATGCAGAAGAAGTCTTAGAAACTTTGCAATGAGAGGTCATAAATAAAGCCATGCAGAAATAACAAAAACAACATAAAGAAAGAAAATTAGTATAGTAATTACTCAACAAAACTAATTAGCAGAAAATTACTACAGACATAATTAGCATAAACAAAAGAAAATTACTAGCAGAAACTAATTAGCATAAACAAAGAAAATTAATAAAGACATATGTATACAGTAAAGTAAACTAATTACTAAACTAAACTAATTAACAGAAAATTAGTAATTACTAAACAAAAAAGATCAGATTTTCAAAAAACTAAACTAATTACTAAACACTAACCTAATTAGCATAAACAAAGAAAATTAATAAAGACACATGTATACAGTAAACTAAACTAATTAGCAAAAAATTAATAATTACTAAACTAAAAAGATTAGATTTTACTAAACTAAACTAATTAGCAGAAAATTACTAAACACATAATTAGCATAAACAAAGAAAATTAATAAAGACATATGTATACAGTAAAGTAAACTAATTACTAAACTAAACTAATTAACAGAAAATTAGTAATTACTAAACTAAAAAGATCAGATTTTCAAAAAACTAAACTAATTACTAAACACTAACCTAATTAGCATAAACAAAGAAAATTAATAAAGACACATGTATACAGTAAACTAAACTAATTAGCAGAAAATTAGTAATTACTAAACTAAAAAGATTAGATTTTACTAAACTAAACTAATTAGCAGAAAATTACTAAACACATAATTAGCATAAACAAAACTAAATTACTAGCAGAAAGTCAGAAACTAATTACCAAACACTAATTCAAAAAACTAAACTAATTACTAAACACTAACCTAATTAACATAAACAAAGAGATGAAAGAATACAATATACAGTAAACTAAACTACTAACTCAACACTAACCTAATTACCATAAACAAAGAATATAGTATACAGTAAACTAAACTACTTTGCAGAAAATTAGTAATTAATTACTAAACTAATTACTAAACAGTAAACACTAACCTCCATCTTTAGTTTATATTACTAAACAAGTAAGCAAAACTAAACTAATGGCAGAAAATAATAGTAGAAAACTACACTAACCTCTTTAATTTCTAGCCCGTCGTAGCCAAGTTGAATAGCAGAAGAGCAGTTGTCCTCTCCACTCGTCTCTCGAAGCCTCGCCGCTCACAGCCTCCGCGTCACTGATGTTTATCGCAAGATTCGCAACTTCCGCGTCGGCAATTTGGGGAAGACAGTAAGATACAACAATTCGACAAAGCCACAACTCCCACAAGACTGCTAGGGTTATCTGACTTTATACTTATATATATATACTGGGTTATACTATAATTATTAAAAAATATTAGTTATAAAATATAATATAAAATAATTAAATATATATTATATATATATATATATATATATATATATATATATATATATATATATATATATATATATATATATTATAATAATTATATATATAAACAGGCCAGGCCTGCAGGCTCGTAGGCCAGGCTTTCGTATATAGGCCTGGGCCTATTTAACTAAATAGGCTATTTAATAGGTCTAGGCCTGGCCTTTTAACTAAACAGGCCAGGCCCTAAACAGGCCAGGCCATAGGCCCCTGTGTAGGGGCCTGGCCTATTCCCACCCCTATTAGTAACCATTCTCATTCCACCCTACTACCAAACATGTTAAATACTTTCACCAAAACCCATTACCATAACCATGTATTTGATACCCATTCCGATTCCGATTCTCATGTGCGAACCAAACACACCCTTAATATTTTATTTGCTCTCCCTTATGTCCCGTATTTGGTTTCAACCATACCTATACAATTATTTTATTGACAATTATAATCAATCTTGACTATATTATCTTGCATTTGTAAACTTAGAATTACCTATTTAAATACGCAAATTCAACATTCAATTATCTATGCATGAACAATTTCAATATAATCTTGCCTTGATATACTTTAAAGTACTTATTTAGAAAAAAATATTGGACATTATCCCAATCGCGTAATGCGCGTAAAAAACGTAACTAGTATGTATATGTGTCTGTTGTACATTTTATCTCCATTAAGTTACAAGCTAATTACTAAGTATTGTAATTAATATAGTTCATTGTACTTATATATAAAAAAAGAATTAGTAATAAAGCCAAATTTATTAATAGCACATACAAAATAAAGGGGGAAAATACCCTCAACAGCTTGCAATACAAAAAAGAAGCCGCAGCAGTGGTACAACACATTATTCATCATTACTTATATATCATTGCTCCATATCTATAGAGTTAGGAAAATTGGAGCAATAACTATATATATGGGTGAAATAGCTATTTTAGTTCACCAAGAACAATATCTGCCACCAATATATTATTTAATAAAGTGGCAAATTACGTCTTGACTAAACTCGTCATAACTTAGGAATTAAAGGTGGTCAAAAATATAACCCAATAACTATTAGGTTTGTACCACAGGTATAAGAGCACCAAAAATGCAATATTTTCAAGTATTAATTAAACCCATAATGCTCCTGCTTTCTTAAGCATTGGCTTCAAAGATCTCTGGAGATGAAGGGTCATGACCTCACTCTCTCCCCCCACCAACTGGCCGCCGATGAACACCGCCGGAACAGTAGGGTTGCAGCCGAGCGCCACCAGCGCTTGTTCTACATCCCGGCCCCGGGGAATCTGGTCCAGCTCGTGCACCGCCGGATAAACCCCAAGGTCACTAAACAGCGACTTGATGGAGTGGCTCATGCAACAATAGCTCTTGCTGAAGATCACCGCCGGCTTCTCCGCCACCATTCTCCTTACTCTCTCCATCTATTCGGGCTCACTCAAGTCTGGGTACCTGTCTGATCTATTCGTGTTCGCTTAGGTTTGGTGGGAATGGTGGCCGGCAAGAACCCATATTTATAGCGTGATTTGGTACGATATTTTGGTTGGTTGTGGTTTTACATACGTAAGACGTGTGTTTTTTGGGGGTACATACGTAAGATATATCATTACTCATTAGTTGATGTGATGATAGTGATTGGTGTGATGCAGATCGCCACAAACACATACAGCTAGTAAAAATGGAGAGAGAGAGAGAGAGAGAGAGAGAAGAAAAAGGTGTTTTGTAGGTAGCTAGCATGCATGCGATAACGATTCTCTGCATACGGGAATATAATGGAGAATTGTCCATTATTGGTACGACTCCCTTTTTGCATATATTGTAGTGATTGGGAGAAAATTTCAATTTTGGTCATATGACTATATAGGTTTTGTTAATTTTAGCACCTGATTTTTGAAAGTGTTAATTTAGTACCTTGAGTATGTAATTTTTGTCAATTTTGGTCACTCTGACCAAATTACCGGTCAAATTTCGCCGGGAAAAAGACGATTTTACCATAATTCAAAAGACGATTTTGCCCCTCAAATTATAGACTAAATGAAGGATTAAGTTTTTCCAGCGAAATTTGATCGGAAATTTAATCGGAGTGACCAAAATTGATAAAAATTGCATAGTCAAGGTACTAAATTGACACTTTTGAAAGTCGGGTGCTGAAATTAACAAAGCCCCTATAGTCATATGACCAAAATTGAAATTTCCTCTAGTGTTTGGTAACATAGTTAGTTTAACAATTAATTTTGATGTATTTATTCATTATTAGCTCTTTTTTTTTTTTTTTTTGAAAATTCATTATTAGCTCTTTGATTTAGTTAAATCGTCAAATATAAGTGTTTGATTAATTAGTTTTTTGTAACAATTTATTGTTTCAAAACATTAAAATTCAAAAAATTGTTCGATCATCTTTTTGAGAAAGTTATTTTGCATGTAATCAACTATCAACTAATAACTAGGGGTGTTCATTCGGTTAACCGAACCGAATTTATTTTTGCTTTAACCGTTAACCGAACCGAAATTTACTCTACCGATTTAACCGAACTGAACTTTTTTTCGGTTAATCGGTCGGTTAACCGAAATTTTTCCCCCTAAAATTGAAAATCCTTAAAATAACTACTAAAATAATAAATCCAATTAAAATACATATTCATAGTCCAAACCATAAATTAATGTCTTCATAAACATACAAAAACAATATCATAAGTCCATAATCCATAGTCCAAACCATAATATATTATATATTATATATATATTCCAAAATTCGGTTAACCGTTCGGTTAATTCGGTTAACCGACACTTTCGAACCGAATTAACCGTTAACCGAATTTTGGGAAAACCTTTAACCATTCACCGAACCGAAATATTTCGGTTCGAAAACGGTTAACCAATTGAAGCATGTGCTCCATCTCAACTAAAAGCCTAAGCTGATAGTTGGATTGCACGTTAATGGCTATATGCTCACACGCCCCCTCACGTGTACGGTGGATTCCAACCAACACGTGGACCGATAAACCGTTGTCGCTTATGAGTGACGTTGAGATTCGAACCCATGACCTTTGGTCTGGCTCTAATACCAAATTGAAGCATGTGCTCCATCTCAACTAAAAGCCTAAGCTGATAGTTGGATTGCACGTTAATGGCTATATGCTCACATAACCGAATTTCGTCGGTTCGGTCGGTTAACCGAAATTTCTCCGAAATTTGCACACCCCTACTAATAACTAATTTACCAAACATCTTTCAACAATCAGCTAATACTATCAAATAGTCAAACACACTAACTCAAACATCTAACAAATATTTATCAAACACCCACTATATATCTTCAGCCATAACTCTATCTTGTATTTTTTATTTAAAAAATGGTACTTTTAGTCAATCAAATATATGTGTTATTTGATTTATATTTAGAACAACCTCAATAATGATAGTTTTTTTTTTTTTTTTTTAAATGATTTTTATAGTGACAATTAAGAGAGGGGAAAGAGAGAAGAGGGAAAAAAGGAAAGAAAGAAAAAAAGAATTAACAATTTTTTTTAAAAAATACAATAGTATTTACACGTCCAGTTGGTGCATGCAGCCGGGCATGACAGGTGCACTTGATTCGCACATGCAAATACTTTTAAATTTTTATTACCAATTAATGAGTTTCACAAAAGAAAAAAAATTAATTTGCACGAGAAAAACCCACCTAAAATTTTTATCTCCCATCCGTGAAAAAATTACTCACAAATTTTTAATTTTTTTTTTTTCTGAAAGAACCACCCAAAATCCATTGATGGGCCGAGGTTGCTCTTAGTTTATAAATTCTTTAAGGTTGTGGTGAATTTAGTCTAAAGTGATGAAACATTTAATTTTGACGGGATAGAGATATAGAAAAAGTGTGGGAGAAGAATACATTATATTTATAATGAAACTCAGGCGAGTTTAGATAGTCCATATATTACTCATTTTTTTTTTTTTGAAAATCCATATATTACTCATTTAAATGTTAAATTTGTTATAAATATATTCGATGAAGATTTATTTGTAAAGGACATAATGGATGATTTTATGACTCATTATGTTTATTTATGTCTTTTTGTATTAGTTATATATGGAAGTGTATTTCATGTATATCAGACAACCAATGATGAAAAAAAAATTGATGATTCTCCCTAGCTTATCTCTTTATTCTGATTTTCTTTTTTAATGAGGCGACTAATACAATTTATATTTTTACATATATCATGTACTCTTTTCTTCTACTAAGTTTTTTCCCATGTGATTTTCCTAGTAAAGTTTTTAATGAGTCATGAATATATTTTTTATTGTACTCTTTTCTTATCTAGGTTTTTTCCATAGAGTTTTTCTAGCAAGTTTGTATCAAAGCAAGATTGTAGACAAATAATGTCAAAGGGAGAGTGTTATAAATATATTCAATGGACATTTATTTGTAACAGACATAACAGATAATTTTATGGCTCGTTATGTTTATTTATGTCCTTTTGTATTAGTTATATATAGAAGTGTACTTCATGTATATCAGATAGCAGATGATGAAAAAAATTTGATGATTCTCCCTTGATCTCTTTATTCTGATTTTCTTTTTAACAACATTTTAAAAACTCTAGCTTTTTAAGATTTTTTTTTGGTAAATTATTTTCTCCTTCTAAGTTCACATTTTAATGTGATGATAAAACTCTTTATTTTTATTGGTTGTCCATGAATTGATTGACTTCACGACAAGTGAAAAAAATTTACTTAATATTCAAATAGAATTATGATGAGTGTGTAACATTTACTTGATTGGGTGTGTAATATTTACTCGATTTATAATTTTTTTCTCCTTACTAAAATTAATATCTTTTGTTTAGAGAGTGTCAAATTGAATACTTATAGAAGAACGTTGCCAAATTTTCAAAAAAAATACGTTTAAAAGGTTGGACTTTGAGTATTTATTAGTCGAAATTAATGTTTTCGTCACCTCATGGACAAATTTCGTCACAAACTTGATAACTTAAAGATTAAATATAATTACATGTATAATTTAGGGATTACATTGATTATTTAATTGCCTACTATTTAATGTTCAAAATTGTCATTTCCCCCTTATATCGCATCCCAATATATCTGATAATAACATTAATTTAAATGAATTTTGAATCAAACTATTACCAAATTATATAAATTTTCATATGGTATAAAGTACCCCACGATTATAAAAGTAAGCTGAATTGATAAATATCACACTATAAAATTTAACTCCTATTAAGAAGAAAGCTTGACCTAAACCTCTCCTACCTAAAACTTTGCGTTTATCCAACATTTTGGAATAATTCTTTCTCAATCTCAAAAAGAATATTGACATTTTCGTTTTAGTATATTTTATATGATAGATTTTAGTTTAGTAATATAATATGTTTGTGGATGTAAAGTAAAACTTGTTGGAAAAATAGCGTAAAATGACATATTAAGTGGCTAATGTGTTTTGTCCGTGCTCTAGTTCGACGAGTTCGTTTGTTTGGGTGCACAAACGTTGAACCGTTGTACGTTTTATCCTGAGAAACCTAGGTCACAACGCTCCTAGCACTTTTGGGAGGTGACAAATAAGGTTTTAAGGAAAGACAGACACTTTGCCTAACTCGTACTTTCTTTCTTTCTTCTTCTTCTTTCTTGTTTTGGATTATGCTCTAAGCAAAAATTCGTTCTTTCTTGTTGATTTGGAATTATAATCTAAGGATTATATTTTCTTTTTGGTTGATATATATTGGTATATCTTTTTTCGTAGATATACATGTATACATAACCGTTGGGTCCGTTTTATATATATTTGTGGGTGTGTGTGTGTATATATATATATATATATATATATATATATATATATATATATATATATATATATATATATATATATATATATATATATATATATATATATATATATATATATATATATATTTTGGTTCCTGTGAGGTCATGTCTTCCCGTGCGGTCAGTGCGGCATACACCATTAGGTATGTTTAAATGCACCATACAGTGTTCGAAAATACACCAGAATGAAATGTCAAAAAATACACCACACAACAAAAAATACACCACACATAATGGTGTATTTATGAACACTGTGTGGTGCATTTTTGCATACCTAATGGTGTATGCCGCACTGACCGCACGGGAAGACATGACCTCACAGGAACCTGACCATATATATATATATATATATATATATATATATATATATATATATATATATATATATATATATATATATATATATATATATATATATATATATATATATTTCGGATATATATCTAATAATATTTTATATATATTTCGTGTGTATATATATAAATATTATTTTACGGATATTAAATCGATTTTGGTTCATTATCACCAACAATCTTAAAACCTTATCATTTTTTATAATGAACAAATCGGTGGAGTCCAAGAGTATTGGATCCGTGAATGTTGCCGGATGTGCACATTCAAATGGTCAGAACGGCAACAATGTTGCACATTC